TTGGAGATTTTGCCCTGTCTTAGGTGCTGGTTAGGGGCTTTTAGATTTGCTGTTTTTGTTGTTGTTATGTGCCGTGAGGTCGGTTCTGACTCATAGCGACCCTGTACAGGGTTTCCGAGGCTGTAAATCTTTATGGGAGCAGAAAGCCTCATCTTTCTCCCATGGAACAGCTGGAATTTTTAACTGCTGACCTTGTGGTTTGCAGCCCTATTCGTAACCACTATGCTACCAGAGCTCCTTACCAGGACTCTACAAAAAGGTGACATAGAGGTCAAATAATATAAGGACTGACAATTGGTGTTAGTAGCTATGAGGTTACTGATAACCTTAGCAGAAGCAGCTTCAATGGAGTGATGAGGGCATAGAGATAATTAAAAGAATGCCTGTTAGATGAAGTGATAAAAAAGGTTCATGTTTGGTGGAGTAAGGGTGTAGTATAGTTTCATCTCAGTGTAGTAAACTAGTAAATAGTGGGAAGGGGGGGAGTAAGCAATAGGAGTGACTAGAAACTGTGATTTCCTAAAGACAAGAATTTAGAATTTGAAGAGACCATAGAGAGCATTTTAACCAATCACCTCAATATACAGGCAGGAAATTGAGCTTTAGAAAGAAAAAATGCCTTGCTGGAAAGTCCTGTGGATGGATAGGGCCAGCTGATGATGTTCATTCAGCTCAGAAATGCAGTCTTGATTTCAAAGACACTCAGCTTCCACTTCCAGTATTGAGTAGTAGGATATTCATGTGTGGAAAAGAAAATGTTTATAGTGCATTTTAAAATTTAAGGGGGTTCTACTAGTCTGGTAGCTTTAAAATAGTTTTAACAGTGAGAACCAAAGTCCTACTCAAATATAGACAACAAATAGCAATTTCCAATAATTTTTTTTTTGTTTACCTTCATCATGTTATGAATTTTTTTGTATCTGATTAGACGTCTTTTCTTTTGATTTGCAAAGGCAAATTATTATGGATTTTAAAACTTAAAATAAGCCTGCAAGTATTATACAAACATTCAGGAGTTAATTTTTCATGATAAATTACTTTTTCTTGTGGGAGCAAGATGAAAGGGCTTAGGCAAAATCTGAATCTAAGTTTTATTCACATGAATTATAAATGGGAGGCCAGGGGAAAGTCTCTTTAGCTTGTAATCACTCTAAGAATTTTCATTTGACCAATTTACCCTTACCTGGAGTCCTGGTGTGGCGCTGTTGGTTAATGTGCTGGACTGCAAAGTCAGTTAGAACTGCAAGGCTGGCAGTTCAAGCTCACCAGCTGCTCCTCGGAAACCCTATACAGGGTTGCTATGGGTCGGAACCAACTCAACGGCACTTAACAACAACAACCTCTCAAGTGTTTTTGTAAGTTGATCCCAAGTATTTTCTTCCTCCCCTCCCCCCATATTTGTGTACCCTGAGGTACATGGTATTAAACCTTCATAAAGTTTAGTCTTGTTCTAAGAACTGTTACCTTCTTATTTTCATGATGCTCAGTTTAGCTTTGACGGCTTAACTGAAAGCTTATTTCTGGGATTTATACCATTTTCAGGTAGCTGCTCATATTCTTTAGTAGACTTTAAAGGTGTTGAGATACTTAGTTTTTAAAATGTATTTTATAAGCAAATTTATAGATTTCAGAATAATGAACTGTTAAAAGTAGTCTGACTTTTAATGGTGAGAAAAGATACGTCCAAAACTTGTTCTAATACAAGAGTATTATTCTTTATTTAAAAAAAAAAAAATGTGTGGCAATGATTGATTTAATTAAAGCTTAGGATTTAGTTACTGTATAATTTCATTACTACTGTTCTGGTCTTTAAAAGGAGCAACCTTGTGTTAGAAATGAATCCCGATGTCGCATAAAAGACACTCGGTGAGAATAAATTACCTTGGCAAAGTAAAATTTACTCTTGCAAGACGGTGCCTGCGCATAGCTGTACATACACGAACAGGCCAGCGAGCACACCTAGTGGGCAGTCCACTCGGGTTTTTAATCCCTGACGCGAGTCTCAAGGCTGTCTCTCACCCTATTGGCTAGGGTTTTGACCGCACAATCTATTCCCTTACTCAGTTGGCTAGTTCAAATTTTTAAGGCACACATTCCTACCTTAGGAAAAGAAGAGAGGGGTCAGTCTTTGCTCCAGGAAGTAGTTTAAGGAAAAAGAAAGTTATCATAAATTCCTTACTCCAGGAAGTGGTTTAAATAAAAAGAAAGTGACCATAAGTTCTTTACTCACTTCAGGAAGTAACCAAAGAAAAAGAGAGAGATCATAAAGTCTTTACTTCAGGAAATAAAAAAATTACCCGAATATAATAAACAGGATTATGATTTTTTTTTTTCCACACTTGGTTAAATTGCCCTGGGGAGGCTTTATTTTCATCTTTATTAATTTATTCTGCCTCTGGAAACTAGAAAGTTATATTGTAAGGCTTCTTAAGAATTTTCTTTTTGAACAGTAAGTTGAGGGTTTTATATCACCTTTCTCTATGAGATGCCGTCTCATTTTTGGTGGAATGTTGTTGTTGTTGTTGTTGTTAGGTGCCGTTGAGTCAGTACCAGCTCATAGTGACCTTATCCACAGCAGAACAAAACACTTTCCGATCCTGGGCCAACCTCACTATTGTTGCCATGCTTGAGCCCATTGAAATAGTCCTGGGGATATTTATGTTGTTGTTAAGTACTGTGGAGTCAGTTCCGACTCACAGTGACCCTGCACAAGGTTTCCGAGGCTATAAATCTTTACAGAAGCAGAAAGCCTCATCTTTCTCCCACGGAACCGCTAGTAGTTTCGAACTGCTGACCTTGAGGTTGGCAGCCCGACTTGTAACCACTACGCTATTCAGGCTGAAAGGTCCTTTACCTCTGAACTTCCCTCAGCCTTTCATTTGCAGGGCAGGGCCATTACTTAGCACAGGTGTCCTGGGTCCTGTTAGATGCTCTGCCACTCCTGGCAGGCCTTTCCACAAGCATTTGTAATTTGCTTATCTCAAGCAATATATGACATGCATTTTTATCAACACATAAACAGAGGTTTCCCAAATTTTCTTTTCAAGTTATTGATTTCAGGGGAAGTTATATATTGCCAATTTTTTTCTTCTTCCAACTAGCTTCTTAGAGTAAAAATAGTGGAATCTAAGTGATACTGAGAACTATTTCTAAATGATTTGTAAATTAAAATAGGAGGACACAACTATCAGGTATAATTGTAAAGCCATCTTCAGAGTCGTAGCTTAGCAGTATACTAAGAAATCTGTTTCAGGGAGGTTAATATTAACATCAACTTTATGCTTTGTTCATTTGCCTGTGAATGTTAATTACTTTGTTTTTTCTTTCTCTTATATGAAATAAAATGCTTTGAGCAGACAAAAAAAAAAAAATTTAAGGGGGTATTTGTTCAGAGTTAGAGGTGAGTAGTTTTGATAATGATTCCAGGTTTGGGATATGTCAAATAAAATTTCTTGAAAGTTCCTTTTATTTCTAACAGTGCCAGATTGGCCTCTCTTTTTGGATTGGATCAGGCAGTTGCTGACCATGGAAACGAATTCTTCCAGTACACAGCTCCAAAGCAGCCTAAGAAAGGCCAGGCAACAGCAGCAACAGGTAAGTTAGTAGGCATTAGGGGACCAGCCAGGGGTGACATGGGCTCCAAATTCTGCGCCTCCTGGTCATCTCAGACATCCAGACCTAGTGCCTTCTGTTCTGGCCCCTGGGCTCCTTATTGTTCCTCCAAGTTCCTTCAGGTCTACATGTTTGTTGCTCCTAGCATTCAGTGAGGCCAGAAAAGGAGGAGAAGGCTGCCCAGATGCTTTGCAGGAAAAAGGAAGACTCTCAATATGAAAAAATTCTACAGTGAAAATGAAGGAAAGCCTGAAAACCAAGAACAGCCACAGATTAAGGGAAAGCCTGAAGTAGTTGGTACTCCAGAAGACAAGAAAAAGTTAGGAAATGAGAGAAAGGCAGATGAGGAAATGCTAAAGAGTAAGGGAAGTCCAGAAGCTGAGGGGAAGGCAAAGGAAGGAAAGACAGAAAAACAAGGGCTGTAGGAAAGCATGCAGCTAAGGACAATGTACCCAAAAAAGCAAAACCAACAAAGGGCTGGCTGAGTACCCCAGGGAGTACGCACTTGAGCCTTGAGGAGATGTTAAGAAAATTCCATGACATGACTAGGATAGAGGATTAGGTGAAAAAAATCCAAAGAGAAACTGTGGGGGTTTATGTCAATCAAAGTAGTCTACAGAATCCGTCCTACCGTCTGGACCCAAAGGAACTTGTTGAATGAAAGGAGAAAGAGGGACTGACATGTCTAAAATGTCCTTTATGTGTCTGGTCTCATGTTAGGTGTTTTACAGAGGCTTCTTATTTAATTAGCATAGCAGTTTTATGAAGTAGGTGAGACTGCTACTGTTTTAAAGGCTCAGAGAGGTTTTGAAATTTGCTGAAAGTCATGTAAGTGGCAGGGTTGAAATTTGAGCCTGACCTGATTCCAAAACTTTGATTCCTTCTGCTGCACTCTGCTGTCTTTGTGGAAGAACTTGGTAGTGGAATAGGAGAGGCAAGCAGTAATTACCCTAGAAGAGCAGGTAACAAAGGACATTAATTTGCCAAACTATTTTAGAGTTGAATATGTGTGACAAACACCATATGACCCATAAAGCCTGAAATATTTATTGTCTGGCCCTTAATAGAAAATGTTTGCTGATCCCTACTCTAAATTATTTTACGTGTCACTTTTGACAGCTTTTCTTAGAATGCTGGTCCTATTCTCGAAGCTATAATCTGGGCAGGTTTTTTTTTTTTAACGCTTTTATTGTGAATTGAGTGATTGTTTTACATAGGAGAACATTGGTTTTGCACTCAACCTACTGTATTTTGTTTCATTGCAATGATTACAATCCCCTCACGTATCATCGGTTAATAGCATTTGCTTCTATTCCCTCTCTTCTTTTCTTTTTTTAAATGTACGCAAAAAAACACAGGAATAGATCATCGTTTAAACTACCAAAGGGTACATTCTGCAATCCAGCCTCCTAGCTACCAGCACACAGCCTTTCTCTTTTCATGAGTCTAGAGTCCTTAGCTGCTCTATCTCTCCATGCCGTCACCCTGCCTCCATCTCTGGTGTTACTGGTTAGGGTCCCATGTTCCACTCATGCTCTTCTCTCTTGATGGTGCTAGGGTCCTCTGTTTCTGGAATGTAAGATGAACTGCTGTGCATTTCATGTATACATTTACATTTTCCCTGATGCCGCTCTTCTTCGTCAGTACATTCTGAATGTTTAAAGTGTTCAGTTAATGGGTGTGGAGAAAAATAAACAATCTCAGTCCCTATTGAATGCAATAACTTGATTTTCTTATCAGAAAACAAGGTCAACTATATATTAAGTATAAGGGGGAAACTATAGAAGCATTATCTATACAGTCTTATGTAGGCATATACATATTAAATGCCAATAATGTAGAAATAAAGGAGACCCTCTGTTCAAGGGAAATATATGTAAATAAGGTGGTGGTGGCACAGTACATGAATCTCTTTAAATCTCAGTATAAAAACAGCAAAACTATATATATAAAACCCAAAACTTAACAGGTAATATTTACAACAAAACCAATTAGAAAAAATATCTTTATGAACCCCCAAATACAACAGGCTTGGGCAAACCACTAACAAAAGGCTTGCATGATATCAGCATCTGTATGGAAGTACAGAGGATGCAGCTGAGAATGGGAGCATCTCAAAATGACTACCAGGTTTTTAGGCAAGTATGACAGGCAAAGTTGAAACTGGAAAATGAGTTTTGTCCATTTTAGTTTCAGGAAGGGGAAGGGTATGATTGTGGTATCATAGCAGTCTTACTTCTGTGAACTTTTGAAACTGACTCATCATGATGTTCTTTCATAATAGGACTGCATACTGAGAAGACTCTGTTAGAAATAAAATTAAAATTGAGGAAGATAGGGACACTAGAGGTCCAAATAAACGTGGGCCTCCCTAAGGGGATGAAGTCAGGATGTTTTTTTAACTTTATGCCAAAATAACAAAGATGGCAGCTCTGCAAAGTTAGAAAAGTTACCTTGAACCATACCTCCTTCTTAGAAATGTAATACATAAGTGACAGATTTCAGGAAAGAATTAGAAATGAAACGAAAAATTATTTCAAATTGAAGACTAAACTAGAGCAAACACAAGAATGGATTAATACAACAGAGTATGCCTTAATAATCTTAATAAAAGGTTCAAAGGAGGAATTTTTGAGATAAAAGAAAATAAAAGATTCACGTGAAACTGACAAATACTCAAGATGGCAAAGAAGATTCAATAAATGTTGCTGTTGAGTCTGTACTGACTCATAGTCATCCTCTGCACAACGGAACAAAACACTGCCCAGTCTGGCACCAACCTCACAATCATTGCTCTTGAGCCCACTCCTGCTGTCACTGTGCCTATTGATCTCACTGGTTCCACCTCTCTTTCGCTGACCCTCCACTTTACCAAGCATGATGTTCTTCTCTAGGGACTGGTCCCTGCTGATAATATGTCTGAAGTATGAGCAGAGAAATCTGGCCATCTTGGCTTCTAAGAAACATTCTGGCTGTACGTCTTCTAATACAGATTTGTTTGTTCTTTTGGCAGTCCATAGTACTTTTAATATTTTCCTCCAACACCATAACTCAAATACATCAATTCTTCTACAGTCTTCTTTATTCATTGTTCAACTTTCACACGAATCTGAGGCAATTGAAAATACCATGGCTTGGGTCAGGTATACCTTAGTCCTCAAACTGACATCTTTGCTCTTGATTTTAAAGAGGTCTTGTGCAGCAGATTTGCCAAATGCAATATGTTGTTTGATTTCTCGACTTTTGTTTTCATGAGTGTTGATGGTAGATCCAAGCAAAATGAAGTCTATGACAACATCAATCTTTTCTTCATTTATATGGATGTTATTTACTATTCATTATGTAGATAATAGTAATCTCTGAAGAAAACTAAAGAAGGAGAAAAAAGAATAAATACTGAAAACTGTAATTTAAGAAAACTTAGTTGGAAAAGTTTCTGAAACTACCTGTTGAAAAAGTTCTCATGAATGGGAAGTTTAGGAATCTGAACAGTACTGATTTTAAAGAGGGAGGAATTCCAAGTCAATAAGAAGTAGCTCACAGGATTGTGTACATCTGACTCAGTCATCCCTTTGGCAAGTCTATTCACTACCTCCCACATCTGGAGTTTAAACTGGGACATACTGAGCTGAGTACACTGGAAGAAGCTGAATTCACCTGAAGGGGATGTTAGGATGACCTTGGTGAGACAATTATTTTTTTTTAGCATTTCAGACTTGTCCTCATAACTGTGGTCTTACTCTTTTTTCCCTACATAGACTGTTTAGCCAGAGAAGAGGTTTATTATGGTATTATACTCAAATGAAAGTACTGATTGAATTAAAAACTATCTTTTTGGTTTTTCAAAACAGTAAGGAAGACTTGAATACCTTACTAGGGAAATTAAACAGATAATGTTGTTGTTATTGTTAGGCGCCATTGAATCGGTACCAACTCATAGCGACCCTATGCACAACAGAATGAAACACTGCCCGGTTCTCGGCCAACCTCACAATTTCTGCTACTTGAATTCATTGATGCTGCCACTTTGCCAATCCACCTCTCTGGGGGTCTTCCTCTGACTTTCCACCTTACCAAACATGATATCCTTCTCCAGCGACTGGTCCCTCCTGACAATATGTCTGAAGTATAAGAGATGAAGTTTGGCCATCCTGGCCTCCAAGGAGCACTCTGGCTGTACTTCTTCTAACACAGATCTGTTGGTTCTTTTGGCAGTCCATGGCACTTTCAATATTCTCTAACACTATAACTCAAATGCATAGGCAATTCAATTAAAAGCGTATGAATGTAAAATGGTGTGGCATTTCTGAAGGGCATTTGGGTAGGATGTGACAAAAACATTAAATCTTTTTGTTTAAATAACAGAAAAATTAGAGATGGCCCAAATAAATATCAACCAATAAGCAAGTGGATACTTTCTGATACAATAATACGATAGTATTCAGTGTAGTCACTTAAAAGTATTTTAAAGGCAATTTTGTCTTTGTTTTAGAAACTGTTCAGAAAATGCATAGGAAATACTTATAACACACTTAATGAGAAGAGTAGGTTGTTCAATCATTTCATTGTTTTTAAAAACTTTAGAAACGCTGCCAAGTTCTGTGTATAGAAAAAAAGACTGGGAATAAATAAATATTTAAAATTATCAGCATTGTTTATTTTTGAATAGGGAGGTTAAAGGTAATTTTTATTTTTTTCTTTATAATTTCTATATTCTATAGTTTTTCTGTAATGTACATTTATTGATAATTGATAATGGGGGGGCTGTCAATACCAATAATAAAATCAACAAGACTGTCTTTGAAAGTAAGTTCTTGGTGGCTATGTCCATGCCACTGTTTTCTTACTACTTTTCTATCAACACATTCACATAGTGAATGTAGGTATGTGGTTGATTTTAAACATTGTTTTTAAATATTACTCTACTGCATTTAGTAACAGATTTGATGAATTAGACACTAAAGACCAAAGACCGGAAGAGTTGTGGGATGACATCAAGAATATCATACATGAAGAGAGCAAAAAGTCATTAAG